GCAGCTTTGCAAGAGAATAACACTAAAACAAGGTCTGTTAGCTAAAACAAAGAAACAGTAGGAACTAGCAACAGTGGAAAATCCTCCCAAGCCGAACTGCGCTGGGATTCGCAATAGCACAGTCTAATTCACTAATGTGTTGCTATTCCACAGAAAGCACGAATCTGTCATGGAGAGTGAACCTGTCTTCAAGTTTGACGTCCGGGAGTCGCTCAACACCTCTGTGGAATCTGGCGAATGTCACATCATGTGCACTTGGTGCAGGTTTGTGTTGTGTTGATTTGAGTACTTGTCTTCGTTTGCCATGACATGAATTGTTTTAGCACTTTGATCGAGGGCCACAAATATTTCGCGCATCGAAGGCGAGGAAGCGGTTGCTACGACCGCACCGACCCTGCAGTGTAAGTTTTTTTGACACACTATATGCTGCTCCTCGACTCGACATAGATAGACAGTCGGGTCGATCCATGGAGATTGAGTCTGTTTGCAGGTCAGTCGGCTATTCTGGGATTATAATTAGTGTTGCATGTTGTCAGTCCCGCGGTAAAGTATAGAGCAACTCTAAAGACAGCCGGCTCTGCTAATAGACGTAATCCCAAGCGATTCACCACATGTGCTATGCTATTTCCTGCTTCGGTTGATGGGGGAGAACTTCTGTGTATGTATAATATTGGAATTTTCCATTATTCAGGTCCGGAAAAGCAGAAGCTATGATTGAGCAAAGTAAGGAGAGAGCTGGTCGAAAACGGCGATCACTAGAACCAGGCAAAATGCCGGGCTCATCGAAAATCCAGAAAGAATCCATTCATAGTTTGCAAGTAAGCGTTGACAGCTCTCTAATTCTTCATGCAGCTTATTTACTTATTTTTGTTCCTTTTGTTTTTTAAACCTTGATCAGTCGCCCAAATGAGTAGACATAAATAGAGAACTCATTGAGAACCATCAACTGGCAGGTATTACAATAGTGAGACCAAGATGCAGTAAAATCGATAATAGGTCAAAAACCATGTTCGAAACCAAACAACTTGAGGAGTACAGGACAATCCGAGTGGACTCCGCTGTTCAAGGGTATGCGGTATCCTCTGAAAGGGTGTATCACCATTCTTCACGTTCCCACGATAACCGAACCTGCTTTCTCGATTGTTGAGACTGTAGTGAAACCACCGAGAACTGTAAAACTGCACCCACTGTCGTGCAATGAATTTAGTGAAAGGTGCCAGAATATTGTAAGGGGCTGGGTGTTTTGATGTTTTCAGGCTTGTTGTGCACCTGTTTGCTCGTCCTGTTTATTTTCGAATGCCTGAAGGCAGCAACTCTCCACTTGTTTTTGGCGCAAGGTAGAGCGGGGCACATCATTGGTTTGGGATTTTAGTCGACTCCATACGACCCCCCCCCACGCCCTCTGTCTTTCCTC